ACCAACCTCCCCCCCTCTCCCCCCTCTCCCCCCCTCTCTCTCCCTCTCTCCCCATCTTGCACTGGGGCATGCCCAGTTCAGTGTTTCCATTTCTACAGAGTGTAGTCACGCCTCTTTCTGCATGTTCATCTCCCATTTAACCAGCTTTGCAGGGAAGCAGGAAGTGCTGAGTTCTAACTTTTCCAGGGCTGGGGGTAAAGACTGCAGGTGAGATCCACAGTCATATTCTCCTCCCACCTCTCACCAGAGAGGATCTGACAACAGTCATAGAGACCTCACTGCTGAGATGTCCCCTCCCCAGGGAGGCCTCATCCCTCACACTCCTCCCTGATGCCTTCAGCCCATAGCTAAAGACTGGTACAGCCCCTTCCCACTGTGGTTGTTCTCCCCTGCAGCATCACTTCACGTATCTGTGGAAGAGCCTGAGAGATGGGTCTCAACTGGCTCACGGGGGAAAGAAATGGTGCGCATCAAAAGCACCTGAGTGGAGTCACCGGAGAAGCTAGTGAGCAAGCTCATTATGTCACTGAGGAGGAGCAGCTGTGGGAAGCTTGAGATCGAGTCCACGCTCACAGGAAAGAGCTTCCGTGGCCAGGATGTCTGTACATACACGGTCACTGCTGTCACTACATTAGCGCAACAACACAAATAACATCCTAAGCAAATTATCATTTTGAGATAGCAAAAGAATTTCACATCCTAAAGAAAACGGGAGTCTGAGATGAAATTAATACACATTTATGTAAAACAAAAATGTATGACAATGAAGTGCAAGATTTTTCTAGATTAAAAAGTGTTCTCCCAAGTGCAAGGACAGCATGTTTGCACGCAGAATAATTACCCAGCATTAGCCTGATCCTCACAGCAATTAAAGCCCGCTGCCCACTTGGTTAATTGAGCAGGCTAGTCAGTGCCAGCCCCTGCCAGCTCCACTCTCTAGCTGCTGTTGAGGTTCCAAGACAGAATATGTCCAGCCTTGTGCATCATGAGTGACTTGGCCTCATTTCCTCTGCGACCCTGCTGAGGTTCGCACACCACCGCCACTATGCTATAGACAATACTGTAAGATAGGAGCAGTCCTGGGATTTCTGGATCTTTGTGCTTCTAGGATTCCTGCTTGCATTTAGCATTTCTAAGAAATAGTTTTTCTCTCTCCCTAGTTTCCTCCCTCCCTCCCTCCTTCCCTCCTTCCCTCTTTTTTTCTTGCTTTCTTTCCACATGTCTGTGTATATGTAGAGATCAGAGGACAGCTTGCAAAGGTTGGTTCTCTCCACTCTGTGGATCATCAGGCTTAGTGTTTAACCAGCTGAGCCAGTCCCAGCACATGTTTCAAGACAGCTTCTTCTGCTAAATTTCCCCCAGAAGATTTTCTCTATCATCTCCAGTGAAGCATTGGTTTCTAGGAAAGGAGCCACCTAGGATAAATTTAAATAAAGCCCCTGTAGGTTTTCAAAGCTCTATCTTGTCCTACTGCTTTGTAATGTCACACTGTGCATCTCCGCGATTTAAACAAGAGGTGATTATACCATCACTCCCCAGGCCTTGTCATGGTTTCGAGAACTGGACTGTCATTCTGGCAGGACCCATGCCTGGGTTTAGGATGCTAATAGGCCAGGAAGAACCATTTTCTAAGTGCCATGCAAACTTCTTTCTGTTCAGGGGCCACGCCCTCTCTCTAATCCCACCTGCACCCACAGATGAGGCACACAGCTGTGACAAGCAAGTAGCGCTCTAAGACTGAGTTACTTAAACACCCTCTGGGGATGGTGAGGAAAAAGAAAAAGAGGGGAGGTCGTTGCAGGGGCTGGAAGGGCTACACATGGAGGAAACCCATGTATCCCAAACCTGTTAGCCTGAGGACCACCAGGGCAGGGTTAGACTGTATCCTCCCTCCAGAAAGCTACAGAAACTTAGAAGGTTCATAAGCCCCTTACCCAGGGTTGTATTATGAGAGGAGATTATTCCACGGAGCTACCTGCGAGTTGCTCAGGAATTTGCAGGGAGGTGGCTTCCATGAGTCAGCACTCATGCTGGGGTGGGTTTTTCAATGTTCAGCTGCCTCTGAGCCACCTCTCTGTAAAAAGTCCCTCTACTATGCTTTCATCACAGGTAAGTCCCATAAATTCACTGAGTCACAAAGCTAGATGTGGGTGGAATCATTTCTTTGACCTGACACTAATGTCCTATCTGGGGTGAGGAGATATTTGTTCATGTTGCCCCAGGGGGAAAAATCACACAAGACCCTCATAAATGTCAAGATAGTCTCAGTGAGTGGGTAACATATAGAAGAGATGTCAGCAAGGGAATCATGGGGAAGCTTCAATGATGGCTGTGTGTGACGTCACTGCAACTGTGTTAAGGTGTCTCTGTGGTTCATTCAAGCTCATTTTGAAGGGGGATGCTGGGACATCCCATGCCTAGCAGAGTGTCCTGCATCTGCTATGCCAGGCATGAAGCCCCATGAAGATTCTGGGAATCTGAGGACATTCCCTGACCAATCAGGAAGGTGAAGCTGTATGGGGTACACTCTCGCAATTCCACTTTCTGGGGCTATATGTTTTATAATAAAATAAAGAGGGGGCAGGAAATATGTTCTGATAAAAAAATAGAAATGCAAATGTCTGTCTCTAGCTGGTGTTTGTTTTGTTGGGTTCTTAAAGTCACTTGAGCTTTTACAGAAACCTGTCAAGCAGATGTTGTTACTATGATCCCTGCACCTTGTTATTAGAAGGCAGTAGCTTGGTAAAGAGATGAAATGACTTTCCCTAAGTCACACTGTGAAGGGGCGGAGCCAGTGCCCAGCACAGCACAGCTTAGAGCCTGTGTCCTTAGCTCTGTGTCAGCTAAAGCCACGCAGAATCAACATCTGGAAAATTGAATCCTCCTCCAATGTCTGTGGTGTGCGATTTCTGATAACTCACGAGCAGCTGAGCGACACAGTGAGTGACTTGCATATTATCTCCAGTATCAGCTTCCCATAGCATCCTGGAGCACGGTCTCTCAGGCCTGTGACATAGCTTGGAGGGTGAAGGTGGCTTCTCCCAAACCTGGTGACCAGAGTTCATCCCTAGAACCCCCATGGCAGAATGAGGGTGTCACCTACAAGAAATCCTCTGACCTCCACACATGTCCTGTGACACATGGGTACACCGAAGTGCACACACTCACCAAAAACATAAATAAATGTAGCAAAGAAAATTTAAAAAGAAATGCAAGTTTTTCTAAAAAGTCTCCTTTCCCTATATTCTTTCAGTGTTCTAAATTCTCAAAGCTCCATAATTTTTTAAACATTTGGATCATTGATGTACTAATGATGACGCATATTGTACTGAACGGTCAACTCTTGAACACTGTCACTCTTGTTCCCAGAACATCTCAAGATGTAGCTCTCAATAGACTCTTGGCATTGGAGAGAGAGAGAGAGTTAAAGGCAGGTACAGCTAGTATGCCTGGTCATCAAGCCGAACACAGCAGGGGTATTCATGTCTAACTTGAGATTACTTAGACCCTCACAATCAGAGATGTGCCCTCTACCTTGAGGCTTACCTCTGCTTTTTGAGCTCAACCTTGTAATGCTGTCTTTAGACTGAAAAAGCAAGTCCTCTGCTGCCCTTCCTGGCAGGAGGCATTTGGTACTTCCCAGATGCTTTAAGACTCCACCCAAGGTTGCAGTAACTGTACGCCATGTGGAAAATATACCTCAGCTGTGTATTCATGAGTTAGGAAACAACTATGTAGAAAATCCATTAAAGGTCATTATCTAGAGTAAAGGTCAGTAGTGGTGTGCAATTATCTCTGCATTCCAGGACTAGCCTACGAATGGGATAGGAATATCTCTACTTTTATTGTAGAGATTTTTAACGATATAGCCATTTAAGTCTAAACCCTATTCTATGCTTCCTGCAAGGAAAATTTATTTCATATCTTATAGTCAAGGATGTCACGTCAGGCCACTCCCCACATAGGACATGTTCACATCCTGACTACCTCCACTTATGTGGGAAGAATGGAGTTTTCTGCCAGGTGGTGGTGGTGCAAGCCTTTAATCCCAGTACTCAGGAGGCAGAGGCAGGCAGATCTCAGTGAGTTCGAGGCCAGCCTGGTCTACAGAGTGAGTTCCAGGCCAGCCAGGATTATTACACAGCGAAACTCTGTCTCAGAACAAAGAATGGAGTGGTCCAAGACGTTGTCCACTCATTTGCACTTGCAATGTGTATCCTCTGCGCTCTCTGTCTGGGGTTGGCGGGTCCTTCTTTATTATCTGTTTCTCTGACTTCACCAACACAACCAGCTGATCCACTGTGATAACTGGGGACTGTTCTTATGTCACATATTTGAAAATGAGAGCACACTTCAAGTGCACACTCTTCTATGGTGTCATATATGTTAAACAGACAATACATGGAGAACCTTAAATAGGAGCAAGTCTAAGATGTTCAGAGTCGAGTGGCCAGAGGCCACAGGGCCAGCCACCCTTCTGTCAGGAGGCAGCCACATGCAGTGAAGATTCAGTAGCCACCAGCAACACTGTCAGTTCCCTGTGACTACCAGAGTTCTAGCGCCATTCATCAACAATGAAGATCATAGACATTTCTTCTCAGATACATGGGCTGGCTCACCAGCGTCCTCAAAACTGTAAATCATGGCAAGACAAATACATCGTTCCTTTTACTTTCCACTGCGAAATACCAGATATAGTAGGGAAAGGTTTTAGAAATAATGGTCATTATGATATTGCCAAGAGATCCACAGGTCTAGCCATGTTTCATAGCTCAAGTTTGTATTTTCTGTTCTTTTCTATTTTGACATGAGAATAACATGCCTCATGCAGCCTGGTTCCAGTGACAGGCCATTGAGGGAGGACTCTAAACCAGTGACAGAGCAGTGATCTCATTTACGAACAGTGTTCCAACATGTTCTTTTCATTTCTCTCTGTCATGTATGGATCGGCCTCTTCACTCTTGACCTTCCATTGAAGCACTAAGGCGATTTAGGCCTACCTTGGTACACAGCCTTAAACCCTGGAGAGCCGATGCTGTCGTCTGACTGCAGGTGGAGCCACATCTGGTTGCTCATGCTCACAATGAGGTCAGGGACACTGGAGCCTGTGAGCCTGCACAGAAGGGAAAGGATCAGACTTAGAGTACTGTCCACAAACACACACACACACACACACACACACACACACACACACACACACACCATACACCTATAAAACATTCTCTTTCAAAACCTTGTAACAACTTGTCATTTATATAAATATTTAAAGGTTATCATCGCTGGCATTTTTGGTAACTGTCCAGTCACTATAAACACAGCCATTTTCATTTAAAAAAAAATTAGCTAGAGGGGACTGGAGATATTGCTCAGTGGTTATTGATCTTACAGAGGACCTAGGTTCAGTTCTAAGTACCCACATAGTGGCTCACAACCATCTGATAATCTCTTCTGGCCTCCCCTGGCACTGCACACATGTGGCATGCACAGATAGATACACACAGGAAAAACAATCATACACAAAAAAAAAGACCATCCCATTTACTGGGATTGACATGCTCCCTAGGTACAATATTTACAGGGATAAATCAATACAAACCTGGAAAAGCAAAGAGCCAGCTGTGCTAGGTGACAGGGAGGTGAACCCTGTGGCTCTTTACTTTCTTACATGAAACCTTTGCAAGGTGAGAAACCCTATAGGTTCATTACTCTATCTAGTTTAGAATTATGTACCTTGCATACAGAATCTCTTTTAAGATGTATTAAAGGTAATTATGCAATATAATGATATTGAAAAGAACAGCATATGTGTGGTTGAGATAGACAGGGTAGAATTTACTGAACATCCAGGTCAAACGACAAGGTAGTTTTAGGAAGCATTCAGTGTGTATTCAGAAACAGGTCACATCCCCTACTCTGTCAGCCGGTGAAAAGAAACACCAAATCCATCGACTGAACTCAACATGCCGACAGAATAGCATGTTGAAACAGGAAAAAGTGCAGGAAGGAAATCAATTCACCCAAAACAAATGTCCCTAATCAAATAGGAAGCTTCGCTTTCAGCAAAGTGGTTTCGGGAATGTGAACGCATGATTTGCACCATCAATCACAGCAGCCGTCTATCAGCCCAACATTCTCCTCACAGACGGCCTCGAAAACCTGCTTCTTCAAAGGAAGATGAACGGCAGTCATTACATGCCGAGGAACTCAGGCTGCGTTACACTCAGGCTGGAAAAGGAACGTGTTCTGGTGAGCGATGTACGCTTGCTACACACGTATGTCTGAAGATCTGTCTTTGTTGGGAGATTGTTCTCTTGTGTTTGCTTGTTTGATTGTAAGGGAGATTTGTTTGATTTTCTGTGCATGCATTTTGTTGAAGAGTAATCAGCAAACAGCACATGGATCACAATGCCTAGCTCTGTGACTCCTTAGAAAGGGAGCCAGCCTGCAGATCCCCCAGGGAGGCAGCCTCCTGGGCCCACTCTGCTCCCTGCTCTTCGCTCTAGCTTTGCCAAAACATCTACAGCTGTACCTGCCTCCCTAAGCATCCTATAAGTGAATTAAGACTTCGTAAAATACTTTGCTCAGCAGAACTGAGGGAAAGATACTCATGAGTTTCCTTGTTTTAATTTCTACTTAGAATTCATTTGTGTGTGTGTGTGTGTGTGTAGAAGGTAATTAATGCTAGTATTTTTATTTTTTTCTAGTAAAACACTGTATTAATAAAGCTGACAGAGGTAACATAAAGAGCCTACATGTATTCTTTCCTGTCTCCTCCAATGCTAAGATTTTACAGACCTGTAAAAACTGTCACAGCATGGATGGATGACCTACTTGTCTTGGGAGGCCCACGTGATCTGTCTGCCTCTGTCTCTGTGTGTGATTGTGTGATTGTGTGATTGTGTGTGTATGTGTGTATAAATCTCTTCAACACATGTGTAGTCTTGGACGTCCAGGTTGTGGTCAGTACAGTGAAATTCCCCACAGCCCATCTTCAAAGACGTGCCACACGCCCTCTCCTTCTTGCCACATATCGCTGGCAACCACAAGTCTGTCTCTAGCTCTAAATTCCTTCATCATGCTATTGCATGAATGAGACCACAGTTTGCCTGTTTTAAAATTGGCTTTGTCTGCTTGGCTTAGTTCCCCAGATCAGTCATATGACTTGTATACTACCAGTTCTTCCCTTCCCATTGCTGAGTGGGACTCCCAGGTATGGATAACTCAAGGCCTGCTAAAATGTTCATGTGCTTGATAGATGACCCATAGGGCTGACATAACAGGTGTGCAGGTTTTCCACCATATAACTCTTCATGTTACCTGTTACAAATTCCCAGGCATGCGATTTGTATTTTCTGATTTCTGTTTCCATTATTTTGACTTCTGTCTTCAAGGGTCTAGACTGAGTGTTCTATTTACATTCCCATCAAGGGTATCTGAGCAGGAAAGTTCTTCGTATCTCCAATGGCGATTTAGTGTGGCCAGGGTATATTTAAGCACCTCTTCTGCTAATTATGTAATGACCTCTCAAGGGTTTTGCATTTACTTTTGGCTGATCACTAATGGTGCAGCTAGACTTTGTCTGTTTCCTATTCACGCTGTTTAGTAAAGGCCTTCATGTCCTATGTCCCTTACTAATGTCCGTACTGATCATCCTTAGTCTCTCTAATGCAGGATTAGAAGCATCCTTTGTCTTCCCAAACATTCTCACCCAACAAAGGATTTGTGTTTGACCAAGCTGCCTAAACCAAGAATCAGAAATATGCCCTTGAAAGGAAATGTTTGCAGGATGAGAGGAGCACACCTTTCCTGTCCTGCTGGTTTTTGAAAAATCTCAGGTGCCTTGCGTTTCTCATTGCGGCCCATGAGGTCCTCATGCACATCAGCATTTATTTAGTTCCGCAGCTACTCTCAACTAGTCAAGGCTGCTGTATGTAGAGGAGTGAGGGTTCTAGCTACTCCTTTGCCCCTTGCTTAGTTTATTTCCATTTTCTTCCCATTTTCCTTTCTTAGGCAGTCATTCCAAAGTATATGACTATGCCACAGGATGATCTAATTCTAAAGCCATTGCTTTGTATCGGGGCAGAGAGAAGAAAGAAAAGAGAGCTGTTGTGTCCTAAAGTTCGTGTCAACATCCCCAAAGTATGAACATCCAGGCCACCTGGTGACGACAGGGGATCAGAAATGGTGCCCACAGCGCTCTACAGTAAATGGAGGGTCTGCTTTTTTGGCTTGTGCCCACATCAGGTCTTTGCTGGCATCAAACCCCCTCACCTCGGATATCACTGCATGCTCACCTGCCCTGATGTGACAGTGCATGGGTTACTATATCTCTCCCATGGGAAGTTTGTGTTTCAAGTGGATAAGATATGATGTAAGATGTCTCATGATTCCTTGATTCTTTCAACACAATGGCCCCTCATTGCCATGCCTTGGAAGAGCTTTGCCTTCTTTGCTGTCTACCCAAGATTTGTTGCTGTTCTCAATGAAAGTTAGCAGAGATGTTTTGGAGGTAAATTGTGAGGCAACTGGCCTAGTTTGTGCCCACCTTTCTGTGCTTTCAAATGAACATCTGAGCTCTGAGCACACACAATCCTGGTTACTTCACTCCCTACAGAGTTGACTCCATAACTTCCTAGAGACAATTGCTATTGGGTGCCTTGTGTCTTGCTAGCCCAGACTCCTGGTAGTGGTCAACTCTCCTGTTTCTGAAAACCCTCAGCATTCCCACCCATTTGACAAACCCCCATGATGAGTCCATGTTAAAAACCTTGTCTTTCTTTTCTTTTCATATGTGAGTGTGTTATTAGGTGTATGCACATGTCTATATCCATGTTTACATGTAGGAGTCCATGTGGAGGTCCAAGGCAGGATGTCAGGAATCATTCCTTTACCTCATTCTTTGTGGCAAGGTCTCTAAACCAAACCCAGCACATAATATGGCTGGTCTCACTAGTCAGCTTGCTCTGAGGATCCCCTGTCTCTGTTGCTTTCCAAGCCTAGAACCATAGGCAGACCATGCACCCAGCCAGCATTTCTGTGGCTTCTGAGTATCTGAGCTTCACTGTTGCCATTATTTGCTCAGCAGTCCCTTCATCAGCTTATTGGTCTCAGCCCAACAGCACTCCTTCTCCTGGGCTGAGGTCCATGTCCGTTTTCTCTGGTTTCCTCTAGTTATTGTCCGTAGCATTGCCTTCCTCTTCCTGTTCTTTCTTGCTCTTCATTCCCTGCTCTGAGCTGGCACTTGCTTCCTTAGGTGAATGAGGAGAGACAAATGGCAATGATGAAGGCCGGAAGCCTGAATTCCTCTTGATAGCAGGAAGCTTCTGTTGAGAAAAATGAGGCCAGGGAGGATTTCCTGACTACAGTGACCCTCAGCCCCCCAGACACTGTCTCTTCCTTTGCTAAAGATGTGGGAGTGTCATATCAATCTGTTGATTTCATTGGTTAAGCAATAAAGAAACTGCTTGGCTGGCCCTGATAGGTTAAAACATAGTTGGGAGGAGTAAACAGAACAGAATGCTGGGAAGAAGAGGAAGTGAGCTCAGACTCGACAGCTCTGCTCTGGAGCAGAGACACTCCATAGCTCCTCTCAGAGGCACATGCATGATGAAGCTCCTCTGACCTCCGACCCAGGATGGACGTAGGCTAGAATATTCCCGGTAAGACCGGTGCTACACTTTATTAGAGATGGGTTGATCGGGATATCGGAATTAGTCAGTAAGGACTAAAGCTAATGGGCCAAGCAGTATTTAAAAGAATACAGTGTCCCTGTGATTATTTCGGGGCATAAGCTAGCAGGCGGCTGGGGTGCTAAGGACGCAGCCCCGCCGCTCCTATTACAACAGGTTTGGTCTAACCATAGGCCATCCCTGAGCAGTCCATTGGGTCTCTCTTCACTTAGCATCTTCTCTGGTTTCTTTCTTGCCAGGTATTTAAGTTGTTAAGAAACATAAGTATCACACAGAAAATCCACACCCATTGCAAAGAGGCATACTTCCAAAGTAACTAACTACTTCAGGCTCACCCTGAGGTGTATGTTTAAATTTCTTTTATTTGTCCACTGCACTTTATTTTAATCCAGTCTTACTCTGTGAATTCACTCGAAATTGAATA